AATTTTCACAACTTTTATATTACGATTAAACAATTAAATTAATTATTTCATTCAATAAGTCACCGTCATTTCTCTTAAGTACATTGTTCAAGATTCTTATAAATTATTAGTTAAATATTTTAAATAACACTTAGAAATATTACAGAAGAGAATTTATTGTTTAATTGTTGCAAGTAAATTATTAGAAATATTAGACAATGTTTAAACAAGTAGAATATTCAAAAATATTATTTCAAAACTCACTCCTAAATTTTGGTCGATGTGCACACGACGGAAGTTCAATTGGTAATGAATCTCCGTACCGCTGAAGGTTAATTTAATATTCCGATTGTCAGTGACCCGGAACTGTTGATAATTTTTTTTTAATTTTTCGAAAGTATTTGTCTATTATACCAATCAATAGTTTTTAGATTTCTATCGCAAGGTTACACTTTCATAAATATGTTCCAATGTCAAATGTAATAATTTATCAATTTTTTAATCTATAACTGGCTAAAACTAAATTTACACTTTCATAATATTAATTTTTTAGTTATAACTACAGTGATGTATATTAAATAGAAATTTATGTAGAGAAAAGTTATGTAGTCAAAAATCAAGTTAAAAAGTGATCGTCGCTACAAAATAACATATAAGCGCAAAATATAAAAATTTTCGCTCGTTTATTGTTTCAGACAGCAAAAAATATATGTGTTATGTAACTATCTTTTCCGTTATTTTAAATAAAATAATTTAATTATTCTAAATGAATTGTTCGAACCATGAAATAATGCTTGGAAGTTCAATCACTGATTTAATTGTTATAAGTAAATAGTTAAACTTGTTAATATAAAAAAATATTTTCGAAATGTGTCATTTTACTATTTGAATAATTCATTTGAAACAATTAAATTATTTCTATAATATTTCTAAACATTATTTAATCATTTTCACAATTTTTATATTACGATTAAACAATTAAATTAATCATTTCATTCAATAAGTCAACGTCATTTCTCTTAAGTACATTGTTCAAGATTCTTATAAATTATTAGTTAAATATTTTAAATAACACTTAGAAATATTACAGAAGAGAATTTATTGTTTAATTGTTGCAAGTAAATTATTGGAAATGTTAGATAATGTTCAAACAAGTAGAATATTCAGAAATATTACTTAAAAAGTCATTCTTAAATTTTGGTCGATGTGCACATGACGAAAGTTCAATTGGTAATGAATCTCCGTACCGCTGAAGGTTAATCTTATATTCCGATCGTCGACTCGGAACTGTTGATAATTTTTTTTTCATTTTTCGAAACAGCATTTTTCTATTATACTAATAAATAGTTTTTAGCTTTCTCTCGCAAGGTTATACTTTCATAAATATGTTTCAATGTCAAATGTAATAATTTATGAATTTTTTAATCTATAACTGGCTAAAACTAAATTTACACTTTCATATTATTAATTTTTAAGGTATAATTGCTAGAGAAAAGTTATGTAGTCAAAAATCGAGTTAAACAGTGATCGTCGCTGCAGAATAACGTATAAACTCAACATATAAAAATTTTTCGCTCTTTTATTATTTCAGACAGTAAGAAATGTATGTATTATGTAACTATCTTTTCCGTTATTGTAAATAAAATAATTTAATTATTATAAGTGAATTATTGAAACTATGAAATAATGCTTGGGAATTCAATCACTGATTCAATTTTTATAAGTAAATAGTTAAAATTGTAAACATATAAAAATATCATCGAAATGCATTATTTTACAGTTTGAATAATTCATTTGAAACAATTAAATTATTTCTACAGTATTTCTAGGCATCATTTAATAATTTTCACAACTTTTCCATTGCCATTAAACAATTAAATTAATCATTTCATTCAACTAGTCAAAGTCATTTCTCTTAATTACATTATTCAAGATTCTTATAAATTATTAGTTAAAAATTTTAAATAACATTTAGATACATACAGAAGAGAATTTATTCTTTAATTGTTGCAAGTTATTAGAAATATTAGATAATGTTTAAACAATTAGAATATACAGAAATATTATTTAAAAATTTGCTTCGAAAGTTTAATCAATGTGCACACAATGAAGGTTGTACACTCGATTTATGACCATTTTCCTCAACCTTCAAGTAAAGTCAGTGATGCACAGCAGTTGATATTCTTTGTCAATATTATTCTATTTAGTAATCAGTAATTTTTGTTTCATAGCCTTTTTTTATTTTAGCCATTTTTATTGTTTCATAGCCTCCATTAATTTAAGGCAACAATAAATACTGTAATTTCTATATTTTTTATAAAGTAAAATTACGTTTGCACGGTTAGTTTTTAACTTATAATTATTGTTGAGATATACTAAATGCTAATTTACAAGTCTGTGACATATAATACTAATTTATGTAGAAAATAATTATATTACAGTCAAAAATTAAATTGATCGTTTTCTTAAGAATAGCTATTCAAATAAGAATTCGTTCACATTTAATTCAATAATTTTCGATGTAGATGTAACATTATTCCATTGATGAATTAAATGTTAATATTAACATATATATCATTAAGTCGCTCATACTTTATACCATTTTTATTAACAATTTATAAATGATTATTAGTAAATAATTTCAGTCATCTAAATTGCAGCTTAGTGAGTTCGTTTTAATAAATAACATTGTACTATAAAAAAGAAAATATGTATGGTGTCGTTCAAAAAAATAAATTTGTCTTCGAAATTTCGAGATGGATGAATTTTGCAAGAAATAATTTACAATATATATTGTACTTTTTTATTGCAAACAATATTTGTAGAAATATTTTATTGATATGTTCAAACTTATATAAAATCGAGTTTACGGGATAAAGATAATTCATTTAAGTTGTGAATTTGCAAATCTGTAAATTAAAAAACGTCATATCTAATTATATGGTTCATCAAAAATATCATATTTCAATAAATTTTTTCTAATATTTTTAAATAGATGTCAATAGTTAAATATATACTAAATTTTTCATCTCAATTTTCATCGATCTCTGTTTTAAATCGTTATATTCCTTTATTAATGTTCCACCACGTTTAATTGTTCATATTTTCTGATTTTCGCGGTGCTTGCCTGAATCGGTACGACAGGATGTGATATGGTAAATGGGCCTATGCACCCTACAATCATGGGCCGAAAAAATACATTGTATGGAAGGTCTATTCATCTCGTCTGTGATTCTTCTATATTGAGTCGATAATGTCGGAAATGACATCAAAAAGATAATGTAGTTCCAAGTAATTAAATCACTGAACAGAAACTACATTAGGTTGTATATCTATTAAATATTTCATCTGTGACAATATTTTAATCAGATATAGGTATTATCTAAAAACAAAATTTATAAACGATATTTAATTTAATATTATGTATTTGATAAACTATTCTTTTTTACTATTACTTTTTTTACTGTAGTCTATTTCTAGTATAATTTCATTTCTGACAAATAAAATGATATTTTTTTAATCAGCATAACTGCTTCCTAGTGATATTTAGTAAACCTTCTTCTATAGGGATTTATATTTTTTTAACGTGGTATCCTCAAAACGTAACAAATACACTGTTTACGAAGTTTAATTTAAATTAATAAAAATGGGAGTAAAAGATCTTTGGAATATTTTGTCGCCTTTAAGCGAAAGAAAACCAATGTTTGAGCTTCAAGGAAAAACAGTGGCTATTGACATGAGTTGCTGGGTTGTGGACAGTCAAACAGTAACTGATCATTCTGTGCAACCAAAAATGTATCTTAGGTTTGTCAGTTTTTATTGGTTATGTTTATTATTTTTCCAAATAAAGTTTAACAAGATTGAATAATTATTACAGGAATCTCTATTTTCGTACAGCATTTCTCCTTATGCAAGGAATATCACCGGTATTTGTATTAGAAGGAGAAGCACCTATTCTGAAACATAATACAATTGCAAAGAGAAATAATGTTCGCTCTGGTTTACAAGAAAAAAAAACCGCTCATGCGAAAGGTAGAACACAGTTTAATAGAATTCTCAAAGAATGTAAAGAAATGCTTCAACTTATGGGCCTAGCATGTGTGCAAGGACATGGAGAAGCAGAAGCAATGTGTGCTCATTTAAATGAAGATGGGGTAATATTACATTTTTAATATTAGTGAAAGAATATGAATTGTAATTATTTATTACTTTTATAATTATTTTTTACAGCTTGTTGATGGATGCATAAGTCAAGATAGCGATTGTTTTTTATATGGAGCAAAAATAGTTTATAGAAATTTTTGTACAAGTGTACAAGGAAATCGTGGAGGTTCAGGTGGTGCTGTGGATGAATATAAATTAGAAAAGATAGAAAAGTTACTAGAATTAGGAAGAAATAAGATGATAGCATTAGCTTTATTATGCGGTTGTGATTATACTGATGGATTGAATGGAGTTGGTAAAGAAGCTGCTTTGAAGCTTTTTAAAATTGTAAATGATGAAGATATTCTTGAACGGTATAAAATATAAATTTAAATATGTTTAATGTATCTTTTATCTTATAAAAATGTTACATGTAAATGCTAATATTTCTTTTTTAGAATAAAAAGTTGGAGGACAGACATTACTTTAGATTATAAAGAAGCAGAATTATTAAGTTCAAATTTATGTTCATCTTGTGGACATACTGGTAGAGTGCAGAAACATACAAAGTCAGGTTGTGTAGATTGTGGTACGACTGAGAAATGTAGTGATTCTTACAAGTATGTTTTTATATATATGTATATTGTTATATATTTATTTCCTATATTTATATTATATTTGTAATGATATATATTTTCAGAGAGAAAAGAGCATTACTACTGAATGAAATTGCTTTACGTAAAAAGGCGCTTCTTATTGAAGATTTTCCAAATCAGGAATTAATAGATGAATTTCTTATTAGAAAAGATCCAATACCTATGAAAATAGATATTCAGTGGAAACAACCACAAGTGAATGAATTTATAGTAAGTTTTTATATACAATTTCATAAGTTTATTGTATTTATTCTTATTAAACTTATATCTTTATTATAAATTAATTTATGTTAGAATTTTATGGAACGACATTTATCTTGGGAACCACAGTATGCTTTTGAAAAAATATTTCCACTAGTAACTCGTTGGCAGCTTGTACATCTTCCAGATATCTCTGCTGAAACTCGTCTAACAATACCTGATTTATACATACCTGAAGCAATAAAGAAAATTCGAAATATTAGATCTGTTGCTAGTTATGAAATTATTTGGAAAACTGATCATAGTACAATAGAAAGGTTAAAAAAATACATAGCATTAAGTAATGACGGTGATAATGATGCGAATATTTTATCTGAATTGATAAGCATTGAGCCACAAAATGCTGTACAAAGATGTTATCCAGAATTAGTTGAAATATTTGAAAATGCAAGAAATGCGAAAACAAAAAAACGACCGACAAAAAAGAAATTACAAAATGATACAGATAGTGATGGAAAACGTAAAGTAGAAAAGAGACGTCAGAAAAAAAATGAAAAAGTTGAAGGTAATAGGAAAATTGATGAATTTATTTCCAAAAATGATCCTGTGTCATTGGAAGAATCTTTTAGAAGAATGAGTATTACACCAAAGAGATCTAAAAAATGTAAAAATATGGATGATTTACGAGAAAATCCGAAAAAAAATGACAAAATAAAACGCGGCCCTCAGTTCGATAAAGTATTACAAATAGAGAATATTAATTCAAAATTAAATAATACATTGGATAGAATGTTTAATGAACTTTCACCAGATGATTTTGTTAGTGATAACGATGATGTAAACATATCAGAGATAATAGATGATATATGTAATCAAAAGGTTTTTCAATTTAATGAATCAAAAGATATGTTAATAATTAATAATGAAAATAATCCATGTGAAAAAAATATTGAAAATATGAAAACAATTGATAATGTAGGTAATCTTGAAATTGAGTGTAATCAATATTTAAAAAATGATACAATTCATGATCAATCATTTGATGAATTTGCTGATATAACTGAATCTTATGTTCCTCTTAGTGAAAGAATAAAAAAGAAAAGATTTCAAAGAACTTCTACATTAATAAATAATAGATTTACTTTTGGAATTGATGATCTTATGAATGATACTGATCTGGAAAATCGACATACATAGCATTCAACATAAAATGCACTTTTTTTACGCAATTAAATATGCAATTAATTATTAGATTAAAATATTATTAATTGTCTTCCTATTATCTATGCATGTAAAGTATTATGTATAATTTTGAGAAATAGTATTTATATATAATTTTAAGAAATGATATTAAAAAATGTTTATATTTTTAAATAACTAATGGCGCTCGTTATTAGTTTAACATTCATATTTTAATTTTTTTTTAATTATATATTTTCAAGTGTGCGGGTATTCGAAATTGCGAATATTCGAGTCCGAATTGTGTAAGAATTTTAATTATATAATAACCATATAAAAGACATAATTTTAAAAATTTTGAAATTAAAATCAAAGAGTTAAATGTTTTTTTATTATTTAATATTAGATGGAAAATAGAAAAAGTTATTGTTTGCAGTAATTACAAGTAACGATATTATTACGAAACGTAATAATATGGAAACGAGCGTGGGATGAAATTTTTCGCACGATAATTTTTAAAGGTTAACAACGAACAAATATTTAAGTTCATTCTGTGACATTTGCATATTAATCCATAAAATACAGAAGAGAGACTTAAATATTCGAAGTGACACCATATAAAACAGTTCATCGAATTTTTGTATCAATAACTGACGATAGATTATAGAAAGCGAAGTATGTGACGAAACATTCATTATAATTTCAGAACTAGAATTACCTAAGTAATTAATTATTACCTAAGTAATGATCAATTTCTAATTTTTTATAGAAACTTTATACAACAATCCGTTTTTAAAGATTTTATCAAATACATAGATAAAAGTTTATATTTTATTGTAAAAAAAACTTTTTTCTATTTCATGCAATTTATAAATTTTGTATAACTTATTAGTTCATATTTTTATGAATATAATTGTAAAAATGAAAATTTAATTACTAAATAAAATTTTATTACTAAATTTTGTATGTGATATATTTGTAATATATGAATGTATTTATAGTTTACATACTTATTTGTAAAATTTGTTAATTGCTATATTTTGTTGGCAATGTTATAAATACAATTGTATATTTATATTTATATTTTTAAAAAAAATTATCAGAATCGTACATTTTTACGATATTCATATATTTAAAAGAAATAAGAAAGAAAGATTAGGCGTTAGGATTGTTCGAAGTTAAATTAAATAATTTCTCGTTGCAGTTGCATTTTATTTATAATTTTTCTTGATTTGTGGTTTTGCTACTAGCATTTCTGCAAGTACGCGATTATATTTTGTCCCAACTTCGTTATAAATTGTGGAACATCCTTCTCTCAAAAACTGGCGATATAACGTTGCAGCGAGAAATTGTGTAGGATCGTCCTACAATTTTCATTATGAATCCCGCGGAGTTTGAAGCGTTCTCCATGATTTTCCATATTTCTGGGGGAATATTGAAACTCGAATTAACGTGAGTATACGTCCTGACATATTTCTGACGGAACGCTTACACAAAGAGTAAGACGAAATAAATTAGCGCTTTTAATAATTTAACACCGAGAAATTAGATTCTGTCGTAACTGATCCTTCGTAACGTTGGAAAGATTATAAAAAATCAAAAAATTATATACTGTCAAATTTCATCAGTTCTGCTCGGCACTTTTTGCTCAGGATTATTTTTTTCGTCGACACTAAAAATATTAAATAGTAATTTGTAATCTCCGCAAAATATATGCTTCTGTTGCATATCTTGTAATTTTTATATTATACATACAGTTAATGAAAAATCAAAACGTTCTATATAACACATGTAACATTAACCTACGAAGGACTAATGCATTAATAATACAACGTTTCATTTGCAATTCTTCAAAATCAATTTCTATCATTAAATTGAATAAATTTAAATTATTAACGTTAAAATTTAATAATGTATTAAATTATTAAATTTTTTCATAATTAGACTTCATAGTTTGCATGTCTGTAGATTTCATAATTTTACTAAATGAAAAAAAATTGAAGTATTTATAACAGTAATACAGATCATTATTTAATTCTTAAAGGATTAATGTTTCTATGAGTGAATATACAATATTTGAAATTACGAAATGTTTCGATTAATGTAAGCCGGAAACTAATGATTTTTAAAAATATAAGCTGTACGCGATAATTTACAAAAAAATTAATTACCACACATTGTGCTTTAATTCTTTTCTAAATCATTTTATCATACTACAAGTAGATAATTCGCTATGTGTAAGTTGTAATAAGCACGTGATATAGATATTCATTTTTATTTGAAAAATCTTATATATATACATATACAGTTTGCGAAACAGAAACAAATAATTGTGAAACACGTACGTTCGTGATAACTTGTTAATCATCATTTAATGTTTCTTTTTTTATGAAAAAGAACTTAATCATTCCACATGAGATAAAGAAGCGATTCTTGAATCGTTCGATAGATGAAAGCGATAATCTTACCCGACGTATGATTCACTAATGGAAATTAAAATTTTTCTATTTTTGACTACGCCAAACTATATTATTTTAATGGATTGCTGAAATCTCTCCGATAAAAGTAAATCTAAATGTGATTGTATGTATGAGATTTATGGACATTTATATTATATTATTATATTTTATTTATATTATACTCATATAATATTTAATTTATATATAATAGATATAATATCCGCAGTATATAATTCACAATCGAATAAAGAAATATTTAGAATATGTTGAAAAACATTTTAAATACTTAAATGTTATAAAGATTGTTTAAAAGCGAGATTGAAAAGTATCAAAAAAAAAAAAAAAAGAATACAAACATCTCGTGAATTATATAATTCTTAAATATTTAATTTTCTAACACAAAATGATTCATCTCATAAGTAGCAATAATATTTTGTATAGTTGGAATAAAAAATTATCAATTAATAACTCATTTTTTTTATTTTTTTATAATTTTTTATTTTCTTTTATCAAGACTTATACTAAAATGTATTGACGATTTCAATTTCTAAATTCAGATTTCAAAAAGGAGTATAGGATATTCTAATTATAATACATTTAAGATTTTTTTATATATTTACCTAGTATTTTAGCTATAAACCTATATAAATATATAAATATAGATATAAATCTATATAAATATATAAATATATATCATATATCATATATATTATCATAAATTAATATAAAAATTACATTTTATAACTATATGGACAAAAGTATATAATATGTTATAATAATATTTAATTTTGCTTTGAAACTGAAAATATTTGCAAATTATTTTAACGAATAATGTTATAATATTGTAATTATAATAATGATATAAATAATAACGATAACATTAAATTATCATAATATTACAACAATAATAGGAATAATATGTTAGTAATATTTCTGATAAATTTTTGCAAGTTACAAGTTACCAAAGCTAATAAATTCTAATAAAAATAAAATTAAAAAGGAAATGCTAATAGAAATTCTTTAAATGTAAATTTATAAGTATAAAATATAAATTTTGCGATGATCAATAGTAAGAGTTTTATGAATATATAATAAATAACAAATGCAATTAGAAATAAATATTTTCATTGAGTAATTTATCGGATTATTCTTGGATTATCGCTTTCATCTGTCATCGATTGGGCAAGCGAGACATATGTACACATAAGTTTATATAACTCATGTAAACAGAAAAGATAATTAAACCGATATTACAGAAACTTTACTGTGAAAAAATACAATCCCTTATCCAAAAACTACTGTATTATTAAAGCATTTCGTATTGCGTGGATAACAATCGAAAATAAAATTTTCATTAGACATACATTGTGTTAAATAATAAAGATTAAAAAATTATAGAAGCTGATAGTATGTTTTTTGACTTGGAGGATAATAGTATAAATTTTCACTGAGCAAACAGGGTGTATGTTAAAAAGTAAGAATTAAAAATTTCAGAAGCTAATAGTATTTCGTTAAAGAGCGACAATATAAATTTTCATTGAGCACAATATAGAGTGTTAAAAAGTGAGGATTTTAAATTTTAAAGGCTGATGGTAGTCCTTTAAAGGCTGATGATATTTCTTTAGAGGCTTTTATACTAGAGAGATGGCAAAAATTTCCATTAACCTCACAGAAAATTAAAAACTTAGAATTTTTAAAGGCTGATAGTATAAATTAATATTATAGTAATAAATAAGTAGCAGTAAATAATATGAAATCCGATTTCAATTTTTATATATTAATTTGAATATATACTTTTTAGGCAATATTAATTTTATGCAATTTTTTATTTCTTTATACAATTAAAAATTGATTAAGTTATGCCTTGTAACTTAAGAAAATTTCGAAGGACATATTTTCTCCAGAATTTATTACCTCAGTTAATTATATTATTAAATTATTATTATTTCAGTATAGTTATTTTTCAGAAAGAAATTATTAATTTCATATCGTATCGTCTACATCGATATCAGAAAAAGGAACAACATCGGTTATCATTTAATAAGAATTAGATACTACACTACGCATCTACGTAGTATAGTTACGATTGTCGTAGTAAAGTATTATAATATTATAAGAAAAGAAGAATGATAGAGCCAACGATTGTCAGGAACGTTACACGTAAGTTCTTGTTCTCGGAATTTCAGTTCATCACGAGATAAATGATTACGGCATGTATCGATAACCTATTAAAAAAATTTGCGGAGAATATATAAAGAGAAAGATACAACTGATGTTATCAAAGAAACATAATTCCTGCATCAGACAACAATTGTTAAAAGTGTTCTCTTTACAAGATGAAAGGTAAATTTATTTATTTTAAAAAATTTATTTTAAAAAAGTCCAATTACGATTTTCAAGCAAAGTATAGAATTTGTAGCTTATAAAAAATAAAAATATAGAACATGGAACAAGAAATAACTTTAGAAAATTGTTTTACGAATTATACATCATAGAAAATATAATGCTCCGAATGTTTTATGTATCTTTCCCTGTTGCGTTCATACTATGCAATTTTTTTATTTAAAAATACATAAGTAAGTAGTTTATTTATAATTATTAAAAAATAAGAATTCACGAAACTTGTTATAGATATTCTTAATAAAATGCAATATGTTAAATCGTTGCAGATGAAACAGTCCTTAATTTCTAATAACTTCTAATTTTTTTTTTTACTTTTATATCTTTCCTGAGAATGATATTAACCATGATTCACTATTATAAAATAAAATATTAAAATCCTTAGTTGTTTAGTTTATCCTCGATTGATAAGTCCCCTTTAACTTTAAATTAATAATTATTTAGATCAAAGTTCAAATCTCTCCACAAAAGCAAATTATTTTTTCATATAATAAAACATATTACATTTTTAATAAAACATATTTCATATAATAAAACATATTACATTTGTTTAATTTTAAGCTCTAAACATTACTGACCAGCATTCACTGAGGACTAAATAATTGATCATGACATTAGTCATTTCATATGCAGCAACTTCGTAATAAGATAAAGAATGCAACATTAAATAAGATTGTTTAATTATTTTTTCAGTACTGTGGGCGGTAGCTATTGCTACGATCACTCTGGCTTTCGTTTCTGCCAACCCACCACCTAAGTGTCCGCCTGATGGAATTGATGTCACCATAGTTCCGAACGAAGATGACTGCTCAACTTTTTACGTTTGCGGTGCAGGCATAGCATACTTAATGGAATGCTACAAAGGACTTCTCTTCAATCCCGAATTACGAGTATGCGATTGGCCAGAAAATGTAAATTGTGCTACCAGTCCAGCGCCTCCAAGTTCATCTAGCGCACCAAGCTCTCCAGAACCTCCAAGTTCATCCAGCGCACCAAGTTCTCCAGAACGTCCAAGTCCATCGAGCGGACCAAGCTCTCCAGAACCTCCAAGTTCATCCAGCGCACCAAGCTCTCCAGAACCTCCAAGTCCATCGAGCGGACCAAGCTCTCCAGAACCTCCAAGTTCATCCAGCGCACCAAGCTCTCCAGCACCTCCAAGTTCATCTAGCGCNACCAAGCTCTCCAGAACCTCCAAGTCCATCGAGCGGACCAAGCTCTCCAGAACCTCCAAGTTCATCCAGCGCACCAAGCTCTCCAGAACCTCCAAGTTCATCCAGCGCACCAAGCTCTCCAGAACCTCCAAGTCCATCGGGCGGACCAAGTTCTCCAGAACCTCCAAGTCCATCGAGCGGACCAAGCTCTCCAGAACCTTCAAGTCCATCGAGCGGACCAAGCTCTCCAGCACCTCCAAGTTCATCTAGCGCACCAAGCTCTCCAGAACCTCCAAGTTCGTCCAGCGCACCAAGCTCTCCAGAACCTCCAAGTCCATCGAGCGGACCAAGTTCTCTAGAACCTCCAAGTCCATCGAGCGGACCAAGCTCTCCAGAACCTCCAAGTCCATCGGGCGGACCAAGTTCTCCAGAACCTCCAAGTCCATCGAGCGGACCAAGCTCTCCAGAACCTCCAAGTTCGTCCAGCGCACCAAGCTCTCCAGAACCTCCAAGTTCATCTAGCGCACCAAGCTCTGCAGAACCTCCAAGTCCATCGAGCGGACCAAGCTCTCCAGAACCTCCAAGTTCGTCCAGCGCACCAAGCTCTCCAGAACCTCCAAGTCCATCGAGCGGACCAAGCTCTCCAGAACCTTCAAGTTCACCAGAACCACCAAGTCAACCGTCAAGCACACCGGAACCCCCCAATTCACCAAGCACTGCAGAACCTCCAAGTTCATCTAGTCCTTCAGAACCACCAAGTTCAAATAGCATTGTGAATCTAGTAATGAACAGAAAGTTTAGAAGATTTCTGACTGTATAAAATAAACTACTAATATATATTTATATTAGATAATTTTGAATTAGATCCAACTTTGAGATATGATCAAGTGATGGAATAAATATTTATTGATAATAAGATATGTATTCGTGTGACATCTTTTCCGTAGTTTTCTCATATCAAAATTGTGCACTTTCATTCTGAGACGAATATTGTTACGTGTTATAATTATTATATTATAACTAAATACGTAATTAATATTAAATGGAATCGCGGAAATATTTTTATTACATTTATTGTTTTATGGTTTTATTGTATAATTGGTACGGAATGAATATTGAATCGATATCTGTATTGCATATTAATTTTCTAGAATTTATGTATTATTTTGCAAGATAAACCAAAGAAATGTATTTTCGCAATAAATGCTTAGTTATCAGTCGTGTTATATTATTTTAATATCGATGTCGATAATCAGATTAAATTTAGATAATGAAATAAAATTATTCTGTGCTTAATTCCATGCATTTACTTTTTTCCAGTAAATTTCTAAAAATGTCTAGAATATAACGCTTAAAAGATTGTCAAATGAACTATGTGATATAACTAACTATTTCCATAGAATAGCAAATAAATATTTTTATATTCCCAACAGAAAGTAATGTTTTTCGTATTCACAGTTAGAATGAAAAGAATACACATTTCTTTGATCACTAAAATGTTGAAACAGAGAAGAGTTAATTTGACGCGAAGAAATTGAGATGCATTGAAGCGAACGAGTCTCTTGTCATTAATCGAAATCGAATGGAAGCTTCTCGATTTTTGTCTCGTACACTTCTACGTTGGCGAATTACTTTAATCGAAAGTGTAATCATTAGCAGAATAAAGAGAAAGGGATTGGTGAGACATTCTGTGGATCTATTAAAGCGTCTGAAAAGTTTGGCTTACGTTTCACGGAATTCAAGACGTTTAAAACTTCTTCAAGCAATTGGAAACATCGGTGAAACTTTCCTTTGTTGTCCCCAATAATTTTCAGGTCTACGAAACTTCAGAAACTGATCTTTTGCGAGTTTTTCGTACGAATATGAATCGAATGCACCATAATGATGTGTAAGTAAATTATGCAGTTGTTTTATGTCTTTTGGAACTTTGGAATGAAGTTGTCGGAATGTTCAGTGTGAAATTTTGGGAATGCAATTATGTGTAGTTATCACATAGTTCATTATTTTTTTTAATATTTTCATAAAGATAGGTAAAAAGAACCTGGAATATTATTTATGCGTTATTAAATATTATAACGCGCACTGATATTTTGGATATTTTATATGTTTTTGTATATTATTCTCATTTTTAAACTTTAATCACATTTTAGTAGACATCAGTAATATTTTATTTAATGTTCGCACTTTATTATAATAATCATATTATAATAGCTAAACTATTTTTTTGATTAAAGGTCAGCAAAATATATTATTATTTATTAAAATATATTATTATTATTCGCACTTTATTATAGTAATCACATTATAATAACTGAACTGTTTTGTTAAATGTTTTGTCAGCAAAATATATTTGCACGACAAAAGTGTATTTTATTCTTCAGATTACAAATGTGTAGGTAGCAGCATGGCATTTGCTCGCATTCTTGTCGTTTCTTATACTAAACGACTATTAATATAATAAATGAGTAGGAATTTAGTCACAGTGGGAGGGGAATGAATGAGCATTTGTTCGTTCAGTCTAAACGCATACTGATATATAAGAAACAGAGAAATCGAATTTTGTCATAGATACCTAGTGGTTTAAGTAAAAAACTACGCAGTAGTGAAGTGTGTAACAATATTACATACAAAGTATTTTATTACAAATAGAATTATTATTGGAATTTATTACAGACAAGGTAAAAAATACATTATTAAATTATTGAAAAATTATTAAATAAATTTAAATAAATATACTATAAAAGGTACTTTTAATCTCGATAATTGTAAAAATTCAAATGTCTCTAAAAATGTTGAAATTTTTTTTTACTTAATGATCTTGAAGATTGTAATTTTGTTTTTACAATAATCCTATAAAATTTGCTGGATAATTTTCTTTTCAAATTATTCATGCTACAAGTATATACTTATATATATGTATATCAACACACGCATATATGTATAATTAGTTATTTTCTTGCCTTATTTATTATATTTTATTTATATTAGTTACATCATTATATGTTTTGTTAAAAATTGTATTCTTGGTGAAAAGAAGTCGGTATGAGAATGTTTTAAATTTTGGTCGTGAGAAGTAATTCTCTAGAATTATAAATCATCGCAATACTACAGATTATCCACGAAATTATTATTATCAGTGCCTGAGTACAACACTGACCAAACAACCATGATTAAAGCTTATTTAAGAGTTATGTACCACTATTGTTTGTATCTTGTGATTTATAAATGCAATTATTTTATCTTTCCCTTATGTTACGATTTAGTTGAATAAATGTTTTGATCTCTTGAAACCACAATCGTGTTGCGGTATTACAAATGATTTGATATAAGAGATGGCTGCAATATCTTTTCTCTTGTCTCCAATTTTTATGGATCATTTTTAACGTAATACTTATTAGAAAATCGAGGTATTATCATTTTAATGAGAACTCGTAACTACATAAAGTTGAGTTCCAGGTAAAAAGTTTTTTCGTATTTTACTTAACTTTCCTGAAATTTTCAAATTATTATTTTTAATTATTCATTTTACATACATTTCAGTTTATTATTATGATTTATCTACTATTATTTTTAATATAATTTCCTTAGTACAACACTTGTAAATAAATTTCTACTGGAGTTTTGTTGTTTCCATTATACGTATCTTCAAAAATATGAATTTGCATAAAAATCCATAATCTATTTATTTACTATTAACAAATTAAACTCTAAACATTTTAAAAAAGAAGTACAAAATCATACAATATATTTTGTTTTAAAACAATTATGTTAAGATTAAAGTTACGAAATGAATCGAAAAGATATTTTTCCTTTGTTATAATTGTTGCAAGCTTTAAAAGTTTCTCCTTTTTCAAAAAATATAAGACAAAGACGAAGAAAAAATTCGGACTAATGTAAATAATTGATCTTTCGAAATTCTTTAAAATTGCAGCGGACAGAAACTTATAATTGCATTTCATTTTATGCAGCATAGAGAAGTCGTCGAATTTATTTTATTCTATTAACATAGTAACAAAGTGTAGTAGAATTGCATTTATTTGAACCAAATTTTAATCAATACGAAATTAAATGAATTCAGTCGGTTGAATCTATTTATATGAATCAGAATTCCTATTATATAGATAAAAAACAGTACAAATTTCGATTATACAAACTATTTGTCCCTCGACAAGTTTATATAAATTTATTTCTACTACATTGAAAATCAATTTCGAAATTTTAAATTAACAGCAAGAGAAATACATGATTTTAATTTTTCTATGAATATAAATGTATATTTCTTTTAAGATACATTTGAAAATTCCAGGAAAGAAAAATTTTAAGAGCTATTTCTTAAATGTTTCTCGAAAATTTATTATCGTATATCTTTTGTATTGTTTTCATCACCTCACCAGAAAACGAAAGAACGGCGGAAAATTATCAAATAACAAAAAACAAATACGTGGAAATATAAGACATAATAATAGGAAATGATAATCGAAGTATTTAACGATTGTTCGTAGTGTGTATGTTTCTAATGTTCTAGAATATCGAATTCATCATCGTTGTTCTTATCACGAGATCTAAACATTGATAGGATTCGAGCATGCATAGATAACCTACTAAAAAAATTTGTGGGGAATATATATACAGAGAAAGACACAATTGATACGATCAGAGAACTATAGTGACTCTACAAGACTACAACTACCTAGGAAAAAAGTTTACAAAGCCAAGATGAAAGGTAAATTTAGTAAAATCTAATTACGATTTATGTATTCTCAAGGGAAGTATAAAATTAAAAATTTGGAATTTAGAACTTGGAGTTTAGATTTCAGAATTAACAATTTAGAATTTAGAAAATTTAGAATTCAGAATTTAGAACAGAATAAAATGTATGAAAATATATAATATAGAATTGTTTATATTACTTTATTTCTTTTTCGATAAAATTAATTTTTTTTTTCATAAAACTTCTCTCAGACACGAATAATACTATTGTAGTTATTGTGTTAGTATAACTCAAAATTTAGGTCTTACATTGCTTAATTCTGAAATTTTTAGTTTGGTTTAATTTTATTACTAGTCTCTATCAGAGAAAATACGAAGCAAAATTAAATACATTAAATTTTATAATCTAAATCATCTGTGATTCCATAGATACTTGGGTGCTCAATGTTTCTATAACAAAGTAATCAACAAAACATCAAATTACGTTATGTTTAGTTAGCTTTAAGCTTTGAATTGTTCATTAATAAATATTATTAAACTTTTACTCAATAGATTCTGAATAATTGATTGTAAAATCGCTCATTTCGTGCGCAAGAACTCGATAATGAGTTACAAGATGAAATATTAAACAAACTTTCGATAAATATTTTTCAGCAGTGTGTACGGTGGCTATTGCCATGGTCAGTCTGACCTTTGTTTCTGCTATACCACCAAGGTGTCCGGAGCAGGTCAGCGATGAAACCATCTTACTTCCAAATGAAGAGGACTGCGCGACATATTATATCTGCAGCGGAGGTATAGCATTTTTAATGAACTGCAGCAAAGGACTTCTCTTCAACAGTGAATTGCTAGTTTGCGATTGGCCACAAAATGTAAAGTGCCCAGGTGGTTCTTCATCCAGTGCAGCACCTACTCAAGATCCCAACGAAGGACCTAGCAGCACGGAATCTTCTCAACAACCTACCAGCACAGATTCTTCTCAGGAACCTAGTAGCACAGAACCTTCTCAGGAACCTAGCAGCACAGAACCTTCTCAGGAACCTAGCAGCACAAAACCTTCTCAGGAACCTAGCAGCACAGAACCTTCTCAGGAACCTAGCAGCACAGAACCTTCTCAGGAACCTAGCAGCACAGAATCCGTTCAGGAACCTACCAGTACAGAATCTAAAGGACCTAATAATGAAATCAGCGGAAAATTCAGCAACCATTATAGCAATGAACATTGTTACGAACCCAGCGATGAACCTAGCGATGAACCTAGCGACGAACCCAGTGACGAAGCTAGCGACGAATCCAGTGACGAATCTAGCGACGAACCTAACGACGAACCTAGCAACGAGCCTAACGACGAACCTAGCAACGAACCTAGCGACGAACCTAACGACGAACCTAGCAACGAGCCTAACGACGAACCTAGCGACGAACCTAGCGACGAACCTAGCGACGAACCTATTGACGAACCTAGCGACGAATCCAGCGAAGAAATTAGCGAAGAAATTAGCGAAGCATGACGTATTTATGTAAAGAACGAAAAGTTTCGAAGTAATTAAGGTTGTATGAAATAAATGATATAGTATAATTATATAATATAGTATATAGTATATTACTTATGTTAAATATTTTTGAATCAGTGTACGCGACCTCGAGATAATAATATTCATTATGTATTCATTGACAATAGGATATATGTTCATATAACATTTTTCTTTTTGTAATTGTCATATCCCAATGTTGCGTCTAATGTAGATTCGTTGTAAGATATAGCATATTATTATATATTATAGTTATTATAGTTATTATATATTATAGTTATATTACTATATTAAATATAACTGAGCTGTTATAGATCTATGCTGTCCCTTTGTTCAACAGTGTGCATTGTATTTGCACTTTTCGAATTGGAAACGTTATGACGGAAACATTTTGAAAACAATAATTAAAAAGTTATTTGGAATATATAGTTTCAAATGATCGTCAAATGAAATTGTGATAGTGTTTTTATTGGCATGGTATGTATAAGAAATCTAACAATGGATTCTTCTGTCAAACGTTTGCACATATATCAGTCGTTTTATACCGTTTTAATGTCGATTTCGAGATTAGATAATGGAACGAAATATAATATACGTAATTCTGTACGTTTATATCTTTAGTAATTTTTTGTTAATGATATTTATAAGATAGTCAAATCCTGTAATTAAATACCAATCAGAAGAAATTCTTGCATAATAGCTTAATGACTATACAATGATATGTAATAACATAAATAGCATAAGTAATTATTTCTAAAGTTCAGAATATACTCTTATGTTTCAAACAAAAATATAAAGTTAAAACAATAAAAATAATACATTTAATATATGGATTTTTATAACTGTTGATACAAGCAATACTTATCAATAATTTATTTCATATAGTCAAAGTCGACAACTATCACGGAAAATCTTGTAGAGGCGAATACTTGGTAAAAGAATTATCTTTCGAATCAATAATTTGAGTCAATTCGACGCGAAGAAATTCATTAATCGAAATCGAGTGGAAGTTTCTCGATTTTTGTCTGGTACAGTTTCGTGTTGGCGTGGTGAATTCCTTCGGTCGAAAGTGTAATCATTGGCAGAGCAAAGAGAAAGGGATCCGTGAAATATTTCTGTGGATCTATTAAAGCGTCCGAGAAGTTTGGCCAACGTTTCACGGAATGCAAGACGTTTAAAACTTTTCCAAGCAATTGAAAACATCAGTGAAACTTTCGCTTGTTGTCCCCAATAATTTTCAGACCTACGAAACTTCAAAAACGATTTGACATCGATCTGAAAAGAGTTACTGTATGTGCTAAATAAAAGCGATCAAATTGAATTTATTCGCGCTTTGTCAATATTTAACTTTGTTAATTAATTTAACTTAATTAATTTAACATAATTATATTTGTGAAAATGTTTGAAGTGCAATTACGTTTGTATAATACGTAATGAATAAGTGGATATTCGTACCATAGTTCATCACTAGATTAGAGATGTTTATTCAAATATATATATTTATGAAAATATTGTTTATATGAATATTGATACTTTGGTAATTTTGAACTTCATTAGGTATACTATTTTTTATAAAATTCAGAATCTATTGATGGTGATTTATCATGATATGAGAAAACCATGACACGCATCAGGTACATTTTTATATTTTAAAATTTTTGATAAAACTTGAAAATAGCCAGTTATAGATATTTAAAATTTCACGAATTTTTACTCGCAATAATCTTCAAGAAACAATGTCTTTAGAAAATTTTGTGTCATTTTTTTTTCATAGGTATGCGAATAAATAGAAATATTGATATTGAATTATTATTTTAATCAATTAGGAAGAAGTTGAAACACATTTAGTAAATATACAATAGTATGTAAATATTTTAATAATGCAAATATTTCGAATGACATATAACTGGTGGCATAACCGTCATTCTGCGTGAAAATTGAGGCTGATGTTTCATTAAATGCATATGCATTTTCTGTTTCTATTTGATGAATTTCATCCTGTATTATCTATTCCAATAGTTTACAAATTTATCAAATAAGTAACAACAGAATGAGCATTTCGTCTTATTCTGCACTTTAATTACTTAATTAATTACTTTTCTCTATATATGTAAATACATCTACTGTTTCATTATATTATTATTTATCATATAGTTATACATATACAATATATTTACAATTTAGTTTTACAATTTACTGTTTTGTTTTATCATACATACACGAATTCTAAATCACAATTTATAATTTGAAAATAATAACACTTTTAATTGACAATATCTTTTAATTTATTCAGTATTTTAGTAATTTTAAATTGCCATGCTTTAAATTAATAATACTTTTAAAAATTAACATCCAGCACTTCAGACGCAATAGTACATTTAATAAATATTTTTAAAATATTCTTGTTCTTTTCCAACATGTGTATTTTAAAATACAATCATCAATGTATTAACAGTTTACAGATTCTTCGTTACTGAATCTACAATTAACAAAACTTTAAAATATCCCACGCAACGCGTATGAAATACGTTCCACGAAATCTTTCGACATCATCTCCGCCAAAATGAAATCACCGTGAAAAAAAAATCCAGATCCACGGGAACGAATAAAGACCATTCATAGGCAAACGACGACGGCTCAGCATTCAGAATGAGAGACAGAGGGGGTGGAAAAGCATGGATAAGCTTGTGTTCACGTGGCGGCAGCTGGACCGAAACGATAGTACCTGTTCAATCTATCTCCGCTGGAACATCTCAATAACAATTACTTTCCGCAACGTCGACGGTATTTAATTCACGGAAACGTGCATACGATCCGCCTGTTCCCGCTACCGTAACCGCAGGCCATCGAAATGGCTGTCGTCTCTCCGACCACCCTCCACTCTCCACTCTCCGATCTTTTCTCTTCGCCCCTTGCATTTAAACACGCTGTACGCTCTCCAGAGGATTCCCCCCCGGCAGGGCTAATAATCATGTACCTCGTGTGTGGACCGTTATCACTCGTGGTGTGTGAGGGACGAGTCGCTGGCTGATAAGGTGACAATCTCGAAAGTCCGTACGAGTGCGAATATGCGATGGATGCACGTTCCACGCGCGTAGACTTACACAGTTGCGAGGTGCACGTGCACAGGCCGGTCGCCTGTATTAGAACGGGGGCGGTTGGCGAGGGAGAGGGTCGAATGGGGGTGGCTACTGGGATTTTCAGTACGCGCGCGATCGCCGTGCCGAAAACACGGCCTCAGCGTGTCCGCTTCGTGCACACCATCGGGGATGAACACTCGGTTCTCTCAGCGACGATCTCGGACTTGTTGATGTTCCTCTGTCACTGCTGGAAAGGAAAGATTCAGCGAGATCGGTATCCTCACTGCACGAATTGATTTGTCAAGTGTGCGATTTTCACCGGGGGAACGACGTTCAACTGTGACGAAACAATAGAAGCCAATGAACTGAAATCTGCGTGTAATAAGTTTGATCGATGAAAAATTAAGGAGAAATTTGTTGGTACGAGCAGAAAATACAAAATTTGACATTTGTTTAAAATAGGTGATATCGTGGCAAATGCGGTAATAACATAGCAAAGAGAGTGAAACGAAGGCTACGAAGAGCTTGTGAATAAAACAATCGAATGTTGTACCCATTTGCATTAAAAATTCGTTACTTAGAATCATCGTGATGTTATAACAAACATGATGATGAACAATAAACATGATAAAGTATTATTAGATAGAATATTATCATTGTCAACAATTGAAGACTTGCGAGGAAAATGATCGATAGAAAATGCTAATTGAATGTACCGTTTGAATAATATTATAATTGCCTAAAAACTAGTGACACTATAATATTATAATAAATACGATACTAAACAATAAATATAAAATATTAAAATTATCAGATTACCGACTTGTGAACGAAATGAAGAAATTCTAGTCGAACATTTCGTTTGAATAATATTGTATCCATAGTGTTATTAAAAATTTGTTATTTGGAATTAATGATGCAACAATAAATGCACGATAAATATATTGAACGGTACATTATATATCAAACAGTACATTATAATATAATTAAATAACACATTACAATAGTGCACGGAATCGAGACTAACACATTGGATAATTGCGAACCAAACAATCGATAAATAATTAAATAAAATTAACGTTAATATTAATTATAGCCACAGTGTTATTAACAACTGCTTAGGACTAATGTTATAAACAACAAACTTGATACATTATTAAATATATTTGGTAATCGAAGTTTTCGCGAGTGGTAGAAGATTCCTCAAAGATTAGCCGATACTTTTGCAGTTTATTGAAAATTTCCTAAAATTTAATGATACCGCAATAAAGAAAAAGAACTCCGTATCTGAATCAAAATTCTCAACAAATAAACTGTTCGTCACTGACAGAAGATTTCTCGAAGAACTGATATTTCTGCATAATGGTACAATAACAATTACTAATAATAAAAAGATAAACTCGACAGAAACGTAATCGATAATCAAAGTTCCCAGAGCGAAACTGTACTGTGAGTGAGCAGAAGATTTCTCAAAAATCAACAGATACTTTCAAAGAACTGAAAAATTGTTTAGAATTGGTAATAACATATTAAATACTACTACTGAAAAGTAATCTGCCATCAAAATCCACAACAATAAACTGTGAGTGAGCAGAAGATTTCTCAAAGATCAATAGATACTTTCAAAGATCTAAAAAATTGTCTAGAATTGGTAATAACATGTTAAATACTACTGCTGAAAAATAATCTGCCATCGAAATTCACAACAACAAACTGTGAGTGAGCAGAAGATTTCTCAAAGATCAACAGATATTTTCAAAGAACTAAAAAATTGTCTAGAATTGGTAATAACATGTTAAATACTATTGCTGAAAAATAATCTGCTATCGAAATTCATAACAACAAACTGTAAGTGAGCAAAAGATTTCTCAAATATCAACAGATTACTTTCAAAGAACTAAAAAATTGCTTAGAATTGGTAATAATATGTTAAATACTACTGATGAAAAATAATCTGCCATCGAAA